CAGGTCTCTCCCCCGGAGATACTTGGCTGCTGGCGGCGGCGGGTAGGGCGCCTGTGCACTCCTACCCAGAAATGCAATGCGCACCCCTGCCGCCCTGTAGCAGTATTTCTGCTATAGGGTGCAGGGGAAGCGGTTAATAGAAGTACAGATTCATGCACTGGGTAAATATTTGTCCATCGGTTACATCTTGCATGCTGTCTAATATCTATGACCAGCTTTAAAACTCAATTTCACACAGTGGAAGTATGTCAGTTTTGGCAGATTCCACATAATGTAGAATAGATACAATGTTAGAGAGTCCAGCTGTATAAGTTACCTACATTAAGGCCTTTCTGAAGGGTTGTGGAGACACCAGTGCAGAATAACCTTGGCCTTGGGTTCCAGAGATATAAGAAGCTGTGGGCAATGAAGCACATCAGGGCCCACAGAAAATAATATATATCTCAGTAGAGATGGTTGTGTGAGACACAAACCACTTTACTATGAATGCTTTTTTTTTGCATACAATACCCAGTTTTTTGGTAAAATATAAAAGATGGTGTTGTGTCAAATAACAAACATGTCAAGCCTTGAAATTATGCCCCAAAAGTGTCCATATTTGACACTTTAAAAGCCTTTACAGGTTATCAGTTTAGGGATAACCATGAATTACTGTACTAGAATTATTGTTCTTACTCACGCGTGGCTCAATTTATGTTTACATACATGTATGTCCTATGCAGATGTTTGCATTCTGGAGTGTACAGAGGCAATGAGGGTGCTTTTATGTTTTTGTTTAATTTTCCCATGATTATTTTTCATTTAATTGGCATCACAAGGGAGCAAAGACCTTAAATGTATCCCCTGCACCTAATAAAGCACAGATTGTTCTTGATTAGCAGCTTCTCTGGCTACAGTAGCTGGGGAATGACAGCACTGAATTTGGTTTATAAACGTACCATGGTAAAAAAAAAAAAAAATGTTTTTGCCCAATCATACATGCAGTCCGATGCTGCATCTGTCCCCCCACCGGCTCTAAGGGTGAGAACTCAGCGTTCACATGACCATGAGTTCTCACAGCCGCTCTGAGCAGACAGTGGGACTGTCAATCACCACTCTCTGCTCTGCGCCCCCCTGTGCTTACTGAAGCACTGGGCTGTGGAGGGGGAGGGAGTGGCTGGCTCAGGCTCTTAGCAGATCACCAAGAGGCTGAGCCAGGTGCCACTCAAGACTCGAGTGGATCCCGAATTTCAAGAGGTATCTTTCCCCAGCCTGGACCGGCTGAGTGACTTCAGCCGACAGCGGATTTCAGCCCGCTGTCAGCAGAAACCGGGTCAGAGTAGTGCAGAACGAACTGCACTAATGTGATTCACAGATGTAGTACAGCCAAAAATGCTTTGGCTGTGCTTCTGCTTTAACAAATGGCATTGCTGTACATAGGGATATAGTATGTTAGAGTTTCTCATATAATTTTCCATTCTTCTCTAATAGACTGGTGAACAGAGAACCCTGGTATTGGTAGACAGGCTGGGTTGTCCTGCACCAAGGACTAAATATATGTATGCTGGAGGAGAATATTGGATTTCAGCAAGAGTGGTTCCTTACATATAGATACCTGTGTTTACACCATCTTTACCTGGCTCCAGGATGCAATTTTCAGATATACATCATTCCTTTACAGACTATTCCTATACAACTGGGTATTCTTTAGTATACACAATTGTTTTAAAGGAGAAGTATAGCCAAAGCTTATTTTTAGCTATAATTCTCCTATGGATCACAGGAGTGCAGTTAGTTCTGCACTCCTGTGACCCGGTTTCAGTCAACAGTGGGCTGAAGCCCGCTCTTAACTGACATCACAGAGCTGGTCCAGGCTTTGTAAGGATCCTGACCATGGACTGGCACCTGGCTCAGCCTCTCAGTGCTCTGCTAAGGGCCTTAGTCAGCCCCTCCACAGCCCAGTGCTCCAGTGAGTGCTGAAGGGGCAGAGCAGAGCATAGAGTTGGAGACTGATAGTTATGGCTCTGTCCTCAGAGAGAAGGGGAAAACTGAGCAGTCAGTGGTGTTTAATCGCTCAGTTCTCTGTGTAGAGCAAGAGGGGAGAGATGTAGCATCGGATCAAAGCTGCATCCACCTAGGTGAGTATAATTTAGTTTTTTTTATAAAGTCCACACGTCTTTTTTTTTAAAGGGACAATGAAGAAAAGTCGTTACTAGTCTTTAGTATGCCTATAAAATGGCTCCTGAAAGGTCACCATCTTGTAATAAATATAACAGACTGTATTTACAAAGCTGTAAATTATAATTCTAAACTGTGGCACTATTTTGACAGAAACAAGTAGTAACTAGGTGGTACTGCTGGAAATAGCAATCTAATTCTCACTTACACATTCTTTAATTCAGGTGCGTTTTCTTTAAGATGATTGATGTAATGCTTTATGACATACTATCACACCACACACCCCAGAATGCTTTATAATGGAAAAAATATTGGACAGGCCATCTTTTAAGAATCACACTGCAAAACAGTGCAAGGATGTGAACAGTGCATATTTATGACATCAGGGCTATGTGTACATTTGTTATACTGCATTGCAGCGTTACATATGAATGGGCCCTTAAACAGTACATCAACAGTCCTGTTTTCTGTTTGTCACCTTCTTAAAGGTGTTGGATTTTTAAAACTGTACAACTACCTAAAGTCTCCCTTTCATTGGGACAAGGAAACATTTCAGAGCCACAATTATTTAGAGTTAGTATATAAAAATCTGTTCATAAAGATACAGTAGGTGTGGATGTACAAACTAGACTGAAGGCAGACAACAGGCTTTCCCGATGTCCTACAGGGAAGAAGAATGGCTTAGTTTAAAATGAACCTTTGTGTAGAGGACATATATTTATAAGGCTCCATGCACACTGGGTGTTTTAATAACACTGGTAACATTAGCAGTGTAAAGTCTTTTTGAGTATTTCAGCATTTTTGTATTTGCATTTTGCCGAGTTTTTTCATGTTTGTGTTTTTTAGTTTTATTTGACCAAAATAAAAAAAAAATTTTTGGTGAAAAAAAAAAAAAAAACACGTCCAAAAACACTGGTTTGCTGCATTTTTCAGCTAAAAAAACTCCTTGAGAAACCCACTAATCCTAGGGTTTTTTTCCAGCCAAAAAACGTTGATTACAGTCTATGTGTACAAGGACACATAGGATAACATGCTGGGGAGTTTACTGGCTGTAGAAAAAAACTGTCAAAAGCCAAAAACAGCCGCTGTAAAAACGTCCAGTGTGCATGAGGACTAAAAGGCATCAACCACAGAGCAGCTTGACAGCTGGAAAAAGCCAGAAGCCAAAGCAGCATATTTCATCTACACTATGATTTCATGTAAACCATCCAAAATCCTTACTCACACCCAAAGGAACAGACAAGGAAACGATCACAAATGTTCAGTTTTCAGCACAGGTCTAAGGGAATCAAAAGGAGAGGCTTATTTTTTCAGAAGCGGTGTGAACAGCTACTGTATATGTGACATTGAATGTATTGCCAAGTGATGTCTTGTGAAAGTCTTTAAGGGCCAACAATCAGCAATTCCAGATGGCTTACTTGGTACTATAATCCTTATAGGTTAAAAAAAAATAACTCCCTGTCCTCAATGTAAACATTTGCTTTGCAGGACAAATTCATACACCATACTTGGATGCCTACAGAACGAAGACAATTACATTACACACTGATTTTTCTGTGTAAGCTGCAAAGAAAAAGCTACAGTGAGAGTAGTGTACAGATAGAGGTCCTTAGCATGAATAAATGTATTTAATGGAACACTATAACCAAGAAATAAAAATTAGCACAAAGTTTGCCTAATATCATGCTAACATGAAAATTAAAATTCCCAAGATCATGCGAAGGTGCACTTACGGTTTCTTATTTTCAGTGAGTTACAGCAGTACCTGTAACATCTAGGTCTAACATGGGAAATACACTGCCATGTTGTTGCCCTGAGCCTATACAATCCCCTACTGCAGCCATAAATAAAATGCAAACACAGATAAGGGTAGATTTACCAGAACTGGAGCACTCAATCTGGTGCAGCTGTTCATGGTAGCCAATCAGCTTCTAACTTCAGCTTGTTCAGTTAAGCTTTGGCAATAAAACCTGGAAGCTGATTGGTTTCTATGCAGAGCTGCACCATATTTTGCACTCTCCAGTTTTCGTAAATAACTCCTATTGTGTCATTTCCACATTTTGGAGTCATACCACTGGGCTTAAGGGTGCTCTTTAACATGGGTAAATGCAACAAGCACAATAATTTGAAAACCTTGCACTTCAGATACTAAATTCTTAAATTTAAATATATTTAACCAGCATTCTGAAGTTTGCCTGTGGCAGCAATATGTAGTACACAACATGAAAATGCAAACTTTTCAGGATCTCTAGCACTTAAAATGCTAGATGACTTACATAATAGCTAAGTGCTAAATCTACGGGAGCTACATTTAAAAACTATAAGCCCCCTACTTTTACTTTTTGCACTTCTACCAAATACAAAAAAAAAATATTTGTTTTTCTTAGCTTGTGGGGAGCATTAATACTGAGAGGTACTGCACAGCTTTACAACATAGAGGTTGGCTTGCCCTGTGTGGCCTGCACAAGGAACATGTGACTCTGGTACACACTACAAAGGAAGACGAGGGCTGTTGAAGAGAAAATTCGAAGACAAGTATTTTGGGACTAATGGCAATTGTTCTAAAACAACCTGCAATTTTCTTCTTCAGTTACTAATGTGTATTTCAATACCAACAAACCTGATCTTGTTAACAGCTATCCCAAGTGCTTTCCTACATATTGTATAACAAGCTCTGTATACCAGTGCAACATATAAAAAGAGGACTATTTCAAGATCTTAAAAAAGGCACATTTTTGTTCAACCACGAAGATTCCAACTTCCTTCAAATAAGGCATCATTCAAAATGGCCTTCTGAAAAATAGCACAGCCGGTATCTATACTTCATACAAAGTTTATTTTGTTCAAAATGGAGTTTGCATTATTCGTGACGGTGAAGGCGGAGAGGTGGAGGAATTGTTCATTTTTGGTGAATTGGAGATTTGAAGTTCTTCAAGTTTCCTGACATAATCGTCACGTATTGCCAGCAGCTCCATGTAGCGCTGTTCTACAGGGTTTGGCTGCTGTCGATTGAGAGACAAAAACAGGAAGAAATCAATCAAGCTAAAGGGAAGATAAAATGCCTCATACTATGCATTCAACATTATTAGTAACTAACAAGCTCCCGAGTGCCAGAACCTACCATTTTTTAGCCTTCTTTAGAATTTTGGGAATTCAATCAACCATGTTCCTGTTTGTTGCCCTCTTCCTTTGAGGCCATCCCACATTCAAAAGAAATCTCTTGTGTTGACCGTGCTTATATACTTTTGAATCAGAGACCTGGAACATGCATATAGATATAGAGGACTATACTTTTCTCTAACGATCTTAAACTGTATACTTGTTTCAGGTCAAAGACATCAAGCACTCAAGCCAGGAAGTCAGAATGACAGGCCCCTCCTCTATGTATACTCCTGGAACCAGTCAAACCCCTCTTTAGTCTGTCTGTACACTATATTATACTGTATACTCTCCTCATTACACTGTACAGTACATTGAAAACTGCTCAGCTATCCACTATATACACTGTACTATAGGATGTGTGTACCCTATGGAGTCCCCGCTGTCAGAGTACAATCGCACAGCAGGGAAGATTTTGGCATCCATATCACTTGTGTGGGTGCAGGGATTTGCAAGTTTTTTCTTGTTCAACCTGCTGGTTGAAAAACAAAAAAAACCTATGTGTATAACCAGCTTAGGAATGGCTCCTCACAGGATAAGCCAGAGACCCTCCGCTCAGAGGCGATAGCTTCTAAAGAGCAGAGAGAACAAGATTTAGGTCTCAAGGGGACATAGGAGCATGTACAGGTGGGAGAAATGTGAACTACACCCTGAACACAGTCCTTAACTAAGGAGTGAGAGGTCAAAGGTCTCCAAAACAGAATGGCAAAAGCCAAGATTTGTTCTTTGATGGTACTCCAAGCCAGATGCTGATCCGACTGAAGAGAAGATAGATACGTACCATAAAGAACTTTCTAGGATGAACTAGCACCAAATGACAGACCTTCCAGGTGCTAAGGTAGACTTTACGAGATGTCGACTTCCCAACCTTCAAGAGCACAAGTATGACAGAATCCCTTAGGTTGGTGGATTCAACAGCTATGTCGTTATAGCCAACAACCAAGAAGCAGGATGGAAACCACCCAAGTCGGAAGGGCCGCTGAACATCTACTAGGATTCAGAGTATGTCTGAGTACTACGTCGTCCTGGGTCAGTTTGGTGCAGTTAGCATTGCCGGATCGTCCTCCATCTCTGCAGAGCAGACAAGACTGATCCTTGTGGGGCAGAAAGCATAGTTCAGGCTGAGCCGATACCATGGTATCACCAAAGCATGCATTGCAAAGGTCTGAAGGCCTGGCAACAAACCTGTCCAGTTTGTTGATGACTCTGGATGCCAGCAGTTCCATGTCTGGTGTCCTCCACATGTAGCAAAAGACTTGAAACACCATTCCCCTGGATCCACACATTGCTGGCTGATGATGTCCGCATCCCAAATCTCCATGTCTGGATGTGGACTGTGGACAGGGCCAGAATGTCAAGTTCTGCCTCAGAGAAGATTAATTCCATATTCTGCTTCCTTGATTGATGCTGGCTGCTGGATTTTTGTCTGGCATCTGTGCAATAGAGAAGCTCAACATTGAAAGGCCAATCAAATTGTCCTGAGTTCTATAATGCTGAAAGGAAGGCAAGTTTCCATCAACAAACGACTGCCATACACTGAGAAAGTGTCCAGGACTGCTTCCCAGCCAAACAGGCTGGCATCTGTTATGAAAACCTTTCAAGTCTGTGACGGAAAAGTCTTCCTTAACTCTAGTGCTGGACTGAAAAGCCACCAGGCTAGAAATAGCCTGGCTTCTGGGCCAGAGCATTGGGTAGTCTAAGGACTGAGTCAGTGTCCCATGCTGCCAGAACGTTGAGCTAAAACAGTCTGGAATGAAAGTGGTCTTATGGTACGGTCTTGAAGGAGGCAACCCTTAGACCCAAGTCTTTTATGTTAACAAAAAATAAGTGCCCAGGCATGAGAGCAAAGGGTCAGAAGCTTTTCCCATGGCTGGAATATCTAGAAGTGTTTTTTCAGGCCCAAGTACCCCAATCTCAGATAGGTCCCGGAACAACTTACTCAGATTGAGGATCCAACCAAAGCTCTGCAGAGTCTGCACTGTCTGTTAGATGTCTCTAACAGTGGAGATCATCCAGGTACCCCACAACATGGATTCCCCGTGCGAGGAGCAGAGTCAAGATCAGGGAAAGCACCTTGATGAAAACCCAGGGAGGCATGGACAGGCCAAAGAGAAGAGCGAAGAATTGGTAATGTTGGTTATCCACAGCAATGTAAAGATAGCAATGATGAAACCGAAAGATGGAATGTGCAAAGTAAGCATCCCAGATGTCTATTGAGGCCAGAAAATCCCCAAGAGGGAGGGACCAATCTGGCAATTTCAATGCAGACATTTTGAGCCTGTAAGAACAAGCTGAGCGTCATCAAATCCAAAATGGGCTGATCTCTTTTCTTTTGAGAACTGTACGTTAGAATAAGAACCTTGAAAATGATTTTCTGTTGGTACAGGGGTAGGACCCCTTTTGACTAAAGCTACTGGACTTCAGGAAGCAGATCTAGCAGTTGTGACTGGGTAAGGAGACATATTTGACAACATGAAGTGGGAAGGAGGCGAAGTTTAAAAATCCACTTTTTAGGCCCTGTAAATGACACTGAATTCAAGCATCTGAGATTTTCTGGGGCCAGAAGAATGACAGTGTCCCCCCAGTTATAAAAGTGTGGGTGGCCCATCACTGAAAAGAAGCCATGGAACCAGTCTTGGCTTGTTCGGAGGGCCATGTTCTCTTACAAAAATATGTTCCAGTCTTAGACTTGGCATTGGAAGTCTTGAAGGGATGAAAGGAACTATTCCTAACCTCAGGAGTAGAATAACTACTAGTAGAAGTGCAAGTCTTCTTTTTGTGGGGGAGGAGAGTACTCTTACAACTTTAATCTCCTTGATGTAATTATCCAAGGAGGGACCAAACAGACATTCACCTTCAAAGGGTAATCAGTCAAGTTTCCTAGGAGCTCAGTTGACCAGCATTTAAGCCAAAGTGGCCCAAGCATGGGGCAGGAAAGAAGATTCATCCTGGAGATATAACGTAGTGTACCCACCAAGCATTTACAAAAGCACAAGGTTGTAGGTAAAAGGTGCAACTGACTGTAGCCAGATGCATCCATAGAGATGACACTAGGGTTTAGGGCCATGTGCTTAGTCTAGACAGCACTTTTCTGGCAGACTGCCATAGATGCAAGCAAAGGTTGCATGGCGTGGCCTACCAATATAAGGAGAGCTCTAGAGAGGGCATCTAACTTCTTGTCTATCAGATCTATAAACATGCAGGCTGTTTAAAGGGCTTCTGCCCTGTACTCACCCTAGCAGATCTAGTAGGCAGGAGTGACAGGGCATATACTCCATCCTCACCTCGCCCTTCACAATGTGCAAATCTCCACAGAGGTCTTGAGGGACAGGGCTCTGCCACAGGGAGACCACAGTCCGGGAACGGTAAAGTACCCTTCAGCTAACTCCACACATTGCACTGTGTGTCAAGGAGAGTGCCCAAAATAGGGTCTAGTGCATGGGAGCAAAATTACAGGACACTCCCCACATTTTACACCCATTGTGGAGCCTGTGTCCTGTACTATATCTAACCATTACCATTGTCACTTCACATTATAACTTTTCATTGTACCTGTTGTCTTATCCTTGTGTTCCACCTGATGTAGTAATTGACCCAGAGCTCCAGGTGGCGCATACTCGCTACAGGATACAGCACTCGATTCAACTCCTTTGTGTAGAATGGGTTGATGTACTTCGATTTCTCACTGTTTAACCAAGACCACAGAGACTGCGTTTTTTCTCTTAGTTTCTGAAATAAGACATGACATTTTAAAATCAGACAACACGGTGACAAAGATAAGCAATTGGTTAACACGGCTGCTAAAGGTATACTAACAAGTCAGTTTACCTCTTTTTCCCGCAAAGACTCACAGTTATACAAGAAAGATCCAAATCTGCAACTGTATAGATGATCCAGGATTGTAATCAAAAAGTGTTCATTGAACTCAAACGCTGTTGGAAACTGGAGGAAGAAAAAAAGTTTTACAGCTGGGCTTAAAGCAACCCTAAGGCAATACTACATTTTTTTTAAACCAAGCCATAAAATTCTCATTTTCTGCTGCCCATGCTGCTGAACGTCAATGCGATCCTGGGAAATCTTCAAGTGAAGTCTGGTGTAAAACTGTAGACTTCCAGGTCTTAATTTCCTGGGTTGTTCTAACCTCTCACTTGTTCCTCCTACTGACCTCCATGTAAATACCCTTTCTGTGATGGGTGGAGACCAGCAGAAAGAACCAGCAAGAGTGCAGGAGTCCCAGGAGAGTGACAATCTCAAAAGTATAATTTTCCCACTGGACTGGCATGAGGTCTTCAAAAATCGAAGTGGCATTCGGCTGTGTGGGCAACTTTAATGATAAAACTGTCTTTTAAAGGTATAGCGATAGGGTCCTTTTACAGAAAATATGACTTGCAAGAAAAATGTCATTCATTTCTGAGCTCTTTCGGGAAATCATAGTTCCCTGGCTTTCACCCAATACATTTCTCTTCCAAAATCGCCTTACTCAAATGAGCTTCGGCTTGTATAGCGAAGTGTACTTTTGCAAAACTCTTCTAAATCTTTTAGGCAAACTTCTAGCATCTTCGTTGCTACCTTTAAAAGAAAGCCTCAGGTCCAATATAAAGTTCTTAAAGGGTGTGCTGACTGTCACTTTGAAGAAGCAGCTAGCATGCTGTCAACAAGCCTCGTGTAGTTTGGATGTTTGCTAGCAGCTTGTTTAAAGTGACAGCACTCCTGTTATGCTTTCTACTTAATATAACCAAATTGGAGGTAGATTGTGTTAGAACAAAGCATCTTGAGCTCTGCCTTCGTAAATATTTGCTGTACACACTGGCGTTATACAAGCTGAAGTCCGTGTGAACAAAGACAACAGGAGCAGAGATCTAAGCACTACTACTTGCTGTGGTTAGGTTTGCACACACATATACTGGATACTGAGCAGAACTCAAGATCTGTACAGCAAGTTCCCCAGTTTACAACAGTGGCATGAAACAAACATTATAACTGAAAATAATCATACTAAGAGTCTTCAGGAAATGCCTCAGGAGGACAGGCCTCTTGAGGACCATGGACAAAACAGGTTCACAAGACCAGACCAGCTAGCTTACAAACAAAAGGCTCAAGCCTCACAATACCAACCCTTGGAATCAGGGTTGGAATATAACCATTATCTACCTGCCCAATCTTAAACAGAGCATAGGTCTAGGAGACATGTGGCCTGCCTCAAGTGAAGCATCCACAACTGTGCAGTGAAGGGCATGAACCTTAACCGAACAGCCAAAAGCGTTTGCCTGAGAAGGGTCAGAGCGGAGGAAGGGATCAGGAGAAAACTTCAGGAGACTGCAGACCAGCCATGGAAAAGGACTTAAAGGCACTGTAAACATTCCTACTTGCTCCTTGTTTTTCACCCACATGATATGCATGGATCATATATTTTCATGGCGTCATTGGCCATGACGGAAGATGGGGCTTCTAGTCATTTCATTCACAGATCCCTGTGAATGAATGATGTGGTTGTACAGGTGAAGCCCCACACACCTGTGCCGATTTTACATGTGATAGTTCTGGCAGGGGAGCAGTTTTATGGTGGAAGGGGAAGCATTTGACCCATGTTACACCCTAAATACAGTGCAGAAGGTGAAAAAAAACACCACAAAGTCATGAAAGGTTGGTAAAAAAAAAAAATGGTTAGACTTGTTTCAGTAGATCAGGAGAAAAGATGTCCAACCTTTAAAGAACATCAGCATAAAACTGAGACATGCTGGGCTGAATAGGGGTTATGTGGGGGCAACCTTATAACTTTTCTGTTTGCGAGTGGCCCCACCTCCTGTAGGCAGCAGTAAAGCCAACGGTTTCTGAATTCCTGTGTCCCTTAATGGTGAATGGAAAAAATATTTTACTTGTTGCCTGGCATCACCTGCACAAGGAAACTCAGGGATGACTACTATAAAGAACTGGTACACATTAGCTGTATATTCAAAGCTTACCTGCTTTGACATCTGCCACACACAGTCAATGAACTGGAGGAAGATGGGAGACCTGTCAGCATCAGCATGGTTCTTATCACCATGTCCAATTCTCTGCAAAGGAACAAGATGACATCAGATTGATCTAACAGGTGGATAAATATTTTAGGAAGAAGCAAGGAAATAAGGAGCTGCCTTTAATTACACATTACATAAAATTATTTTACCAATTTTCAAGCTGCAGAAAAGCATCACCTTATCTCCCCATTTTTTTTTTTTAGACTATTTGGTTATAAAGAGTAATGGTAAATCTGCCACAAACCTGGGCAGCACAACCAGACTAACGTTACCTTTAGTGAAAGCCAAATGCATAAATGTTAACATACAGAAATCTGAGGTTTCCTGAATTTTTAAACTTTTACTGAAGATTGGTCATATCTCTTCTCTCCTCTAAAGGGTCCATTAGGGTTCTTTCAAGTGAAGAGTGAATCAATTACTTAAGAATCTGTAAGTTATTTTTCTGAACAATCTTTACCAAATAATGCACCCATGGGGACATGGCTATATTTGCCAAAAGACAAATCTAGTCTGTGCTTAAAGAAGTTGTGTACTAAATGGCAACACCAAAATACATAATATAGGGCTTATACACATCAACCCACATGCCTAAATGCATGAACACTACTGTATGCTGTGAAGAAGCAGTGGTGAAGCGGGTGGTGCAATGTGTTGTTACACTGCATCACACTTAAACTTTTTGCGCACTGCAAAATGACACTTTAATCAAGATTTTGCACTCCAGCGCATTGCGACATGCGATGGTGACGTGCTACACTGTATAAAAATGGAAACATGCTTTTTTTTTTTTTTTTTAATGGGAACTACATGGTTTTTGTCTACCCAAAAACAGCACAGAATTACAAATATTATTTTGTTACCATGCAGTCTCACCGTTAAAAATAATTATGTGAAGAAAAAGAGCTTATTGATACACAGTAAGCTAAAAACCAAAATCCATCATGAAAAAAAAAAATAAGTGATCAAAAATCTTTTCTATGCTAGAAAAGTATGTCTAAAACTATCTTAACCAAAAAAAAAAAAAAAAAAAAATTAAAAACAGATCCAACTAGTAAGTAAAATAAAATAGATATAAATGGCCAAAAAATGACTGCCTTGGATTCTTTTATTCATAATAAATTATTAGTAATGAGGACAACGCACATTTTTGTGCAAGTCAAAAGCGTTATGGTGTGAACTAAGCAGTTTTTTTCTTTGTGACCTTGTGTGGATCTACTAGATCAATAGAGCTTGACAAATATGGTGTGAACGAGCTCTTAAGAGTCTTGCCCTGTTTCTAAAGTAAACAGCTGTCAAAAATGCATGTCAAAAAATGCATGCAAGTCTAGGAGGAGGATTTTATACAGATGTTATGGGAAGTTTCAAGGTTCTTTACAGTAACAGGTGACCATCATCTTTTTCTCTTAAAGTTATTTGTGCACAGCCTGCTAGCTATACATATACATCAGACAATATGTTGTCTTCAACACTTAGTGATTCTAACGGTTCAATTTAAAAAAACAAAACCAAAAAAAACATTATACTCATCTGCTCTGTGAAATGGCTTTGCACAGAGCAGCTCCAATCCTTTTCCTTTTGGGTCCCCTGCTGGCGGTCCTGGCTCCTCCCCCCTCCTGAGTGGCCCCAATGGCAAGCCTCTTGCTATGGGGACACTCAGGCAGGCTTGCTCCCAAGCCATGCTCCTGTGAATGGACATTGTCTGTTCACACACAGTGTGGCTCGGCCCTGCCACCTGCTCTCTCGCTGGCTGTGATGGACAGCAGCAGGAGCCAATGGCTCCCGCTGCTGCATGAGCCAATGAGGACCGGGAGTCCCAGGACAGCCGACGCTCCCCTGCACATCCGCGGATCGAGATGGAGCTCAGGTAAGTAGTGGGGAGCTGCACCCAGGTTTTTTACCTTCATGCATAGAATGCAAGTAAAAAACATTCTGCCTTTAGAACCACTTTAAAGTATTAAAATTCTTTAACCAGATAACAAAAGGTTGGCAACCTGTAAACACAGCTATGGCAGAGAGACAGCCTGTAAACTGAGTTGACCAAACACCATCCTTCCTTTAAGTTACTTACCGATGAGAACTTGTGTCCAAAGCTAATCCACTCCTTTTGTAGTAACACTTCAAAGCCAACTATAGTCCTGTAGTAGCTGTCCAGCATCAGCATGGACAGAGAAGTGAGCTGGGCTGTCCTGTCCCAGCCATCACTGCAATGCACAACCACAGAGCTCTTTCCAGAAGCCACTTTATCTGCAACCTGAATGGCTCCTGTTAAAACCAACTAAAGAAAGAAAAAATAATAATGTCACAAGAGCCAAAATAAAACAAATTTACAAGCTCATTTTCAAGCAGCAACTGGAAACATTCAAGAATATACCAAGCCACAATTTAGAAAAAAAAAACAAAAAAAACAAACAAAACATCCACAATTTCACCTTAATATGTTCCAGCCAGTGTGTGGACTCCAAGCTTGACAGCCAGTGAGACTCTTCTACTTGTGGAAACACTATATCTTTCAGTTTCTTCAGAGATTCCCTCATCACATGAATGTTGTGTATGTCCAAGAACACTAGCTCTGCAAAGGGGTAAGCGTCTTCACTCTCATAACCTCCTCCTGTGGCCTACAGAGAATTTAAATGTGGTACAATAAATAGGATGCATTAATGGTGTCCACTCAGGGGAAGTAACAAGATCTTTCGGGGGCTCTTCACCTCTATTATTTTCTTCACATTGCCCCACCACCTAGTTCTCTACTTAGTTGCAAGAAAAAGTATGTGAACCCCTTGGGATTACGTGGAGTTTTGCATGAATTGGACATCAAATGTGCTCTGAACGTCATCTAAGTCACAACAATAGAAGAACACAGTCTGCTGAACATAATACTACACAAACATTAGATGTTGCCATGGTTTAATTGCACACAACATGTAAACATTCACAGTGCAGGGAGGAAAAAGTATGTGAACCTTTGGACTTAACTGGTTGACCCTCCTTTGGCAGCAATAACCTCAAACCAAACGTTTCCTGTAGTTGCAGATCAGACCTGCACAACGATCTGGAGTAATTTTGGACCACTCCTCGTCACAAAACTGTTTCAGTGTAGCAATATTCTTGGGATGTCTGGTGTGAATCGCTCTCTTAAGGTCATGCCACAGCATTTCAATCAGGTTGAGGTCAGGACTCTGATTGGGCCACTCCAGAAGGTGTATTCTGTGCTGTTGCAGCCATTGTTTTGTTGAATTACTTGTATGCTTTGGGTCATTGTCCTGTTGCATCACCCGTCCTCTGCGGAGCTTCAGTTGGCGGACAGATGGTCGTACGTTTTCCTGAAAAATGTCTTGATAAACTCAGGAATTCATTTTCCCATCAATGACAACAATCCGTCCAGGCCCTGAGGTAGCAAAGCAGCCCCAAACCATGATGCTCCCTCCGCCATGTTTTACAATGGGGATGAGGTTTTGATGTTGGTGTGCTGTGCCTTTTTTTTCTCCACACATAGTGTTGTGTGTTCTTCCCAAACAACTCAATCTTGCTTTCATCTGTCCACAGTATATTTTGCCAGTAGCGCTGTGGAACACCCAGGTGCTCTTTTGCAAACTTCAAACATGCTGCAATATTCTTTTTGGACAGCAATGGCTTCCTCCGTGGCGTCCTCCCATGTACTCCATTCTTGTTTAATGTTTTCCTTATTGTAGATGTGTAAACAAAAATGTTAGCATGTGCCAGAGATTTCTGTAGGTCTTTAGCTGACACTCTGGGATTCTTCTTTACCTCATGCAGCATTCTGCGCTGTGCTCTTGCAGCCATTTTTACAGGACGACCACGCCAAGGGAGAGTAGCAACAGTGCTAAACTTTCTCCATTTGTAGACAGTCTGTCTTACCGTGGACACATGAACATCAAGGCTTTTGGAGATACTTTTGTAACCCTTTCCAGCTTCATGCAAGTCAACAATTCTTGATCATAGGTCTTCTGAGAGCTCTTTTCTGCGAGGCATGGTTCACATCAGACAGTGCTTACTGAAACCAGTAAACCCAAAACAGGTGTGTGTTTAAGGGCAGGACAGCTGTCAGCAACACATCCAATATCATCACACTGATTGGAGTCAAGGTTGGCTCACTCCTGGCTCCAATTAGCTCTGGGAGAAGACATTAATCTAGGGCCTCACATACTTTTTCCTCCCTGCACTGTGAATGTTTACATGTTATGTGCAATTAAACCATGGCAACATCTAATGTTTGTGTAGTATTATGTTCAGCAGACTGTGTTCTTCTATTGTTGTGACTTAGATGACGTTCAGAGCACATTTGAGGCCCAATTCATGCAAAACTCCACGTAATCCCAAGGGGTTCACATACTTTTTCTTGCAACTGTAGCTTGAGCTCCTGGGAACACGGTTTGCTTTAGTTATGGGGGAATGTTTGATCCTTTCCCCTGTCTGCCACTATGCAGGTACATGCCAGGCCTGAGCAATTTAAAAGGTGTTTGCTGCATATAAAGGTTCTTTTTAAGCACAAAATGCTTATTTCACATAAACAGAAACCATGCAGAAGGACTGGTACTGGATTTTCTTTTTCGGGTGCACTAGCTGCCTGGATTTCTTTAAAACAGATCGTATGTATATTAAAATAATGAAAAAATTGATTCTTTATATAAACTTCACCCATGTAGAATACAAAATAAGCGTTTATGAATGCACTATATATACAAGTTATTTTATGTCAATTTGCATAAAGTATTCGGACCCCCTTCACTTTTTTCAAAGCATTGTCAGCTGTGAGGCCTTTAATAGAGAGGTGTGTGCTTTTCCAAATCATGTCCAATTTAATTTACCACAGATGGACTCTAAACAAGGTGTAGAAACATCTCAGCAATGGTCTAGAGAAATGGGAGGCACCTGAGCCAAGTTTCAAATGTTGTTTCAAAGGGTTTGAATACTTACACCAATGTGATATTTCAGTTTTTCCTTTTTCAAACATTTGCAAACATTTCTAAAATTCTGTTTTCACTTTGTCATTCTGTGATATTGAGTATAGATTAAGGAGGAAAAAAAAAAAATTTAAACAACTGTAGTATTAGGCTGCAACATAACAAAATTGTAAAAAGTGAAGGGGGCCTGAATACTTTTTGAATGCACTGTAGTTTATTTCCACTAAAACAAATATAGACTGCAGTATATAGCTTTAAAAACAACTAGTAAGAATACAAGACAAATATAACGTCACATAACATGGGAACATCCTCCTGCATTGTCATAACATATTGAGCAAGCTGCTCAAGAACCTCCTACCTTATTGGCCACTGCATTAACGTTGGGCCTAGCATCATAGATGGTCAATTTGGAAGTTTGGCCGTTGGCTTCTTTAATAATCTCCAGGTATCGCTCATCATCTTTGTTCCGTTTGCCACTCATGCCTACTAGCGGCTGGCTGCATCTCATAATGACAGACTGGTTTTCTGGATGGACCCAGGACAATACCTGTACAAGAAAAAGGATGTTCAAGCTAGATCTAAGTTACCATGCAAGTATGAAAAAAAAAAAAAGATATAAAAATGTCTCTTTATTTAATTACATATCTTTTTCTAAAGTAGATTCCAGGAAAAGTGGAAAAATCACCATTAAAAGATAAGTTCACCTTTGATACAAACATAAAAAAAAATAAATAATAATAAACGAACATCTTTTTGCAGACTCCTGTCGACTGTCAGTGTACCTGTCTACCCATGCCTTGTACAGGCAGGCAGTTTCCGAAAGACAGGAAGCATCAATGAACTGCCTAGAGCGCTCATCAGTGCTCTGGTAGTTCATTGAGAGATACAAGCCGCCAGCTACAATAGCTGATGGTAGTTTGTAGTTCTCCCATTCACAGTATCCTGTGCATAATGTGGCCGGCTGGGTGGAGCCCCACATGGCTGCATTTTTAAAAAAAAACTGTGACAGCTCCAGCCCGCTGCATTGAAGGGGTGTGGGGGCTGTTGCAACAGTAACATGTTACCCCCTGATAATGGGTATAACGTAACGTGTTTACAAAAGGTGAACTTATCTTTTTTTTGCTTACAAACGATTTTATTGAGTATAAGTAGACAATAAAATAACAGCACATTTTCAAATATTAACAGCAAAAACAAGGCACTGAAAGTACAATTCAGAAAAATATATCATAATAAGGAAGAGAAGAAACAGAAGAAAAGTAGATTGCAAGTACATGAAATACGTTAATAAGAGAAATTGAATGATACGTCTGCCAACAGCATCTGTCAGTCATTGTTTACTGAAAACATTATCAATCATGCAATAAATGTCTATAATCCCTCCATGACTCCCATTTTTTATCAAATAAGTGCATCTTATCCAGCAGAGTATAATGAATGCGTTCCATCAGCATTACAGCATCAATTCTGTGTAGGATGGAGGCCAAAGGTACAGCATTGGATCTCCAGTGTAAGGCAATAGACCATAAAGTGGCAATACAAATAGTATGTATCAATCTCATAATGGCATCAGGGACCCCTGGGATATGAGCCCCCAATAGACAAGTCTGAATAGATAAGCATACTGGGGTGCCCGCCAATGAGGTAGCCACCTCGGATATCTTGCGCCAAATCAAAGATATGGACGGGCAATCCCAAAATATATGCACCAAAGTGCCTGTAAAACCACAGCCCCGAAAACATAGAGGGGACGTTTGTGGGTACAATCTATGTAGTCTTGATGGGGGTATAATACCATCTAGTTAAAACCTTAAGGGCTGTTTCACGAACAGAAAGAGATCGAGAGCTTTTACAGATATTATCCACCATGGAATCCCAATCCTCATCCGAAAAAGTGGTACCACTATCCTCCTCCCACCTCTGTCGGTACAACGGAGGCGTATGAAAGAGACAAAGTAAAGATTGGTGATAAAAATTGGAAATAAGACCCCTACCCCTGGGAGAGTCACGGCTGGTACGTTCAAAAAAGGAAACCGGAGAAGACGGTGTAAGGCCAAATTGTGATTCAAAAAAGTGTCTAATCTGTCGGTAACGATGGTACTCGCGAAGGGGAATATCAAAAAGCGCGCGCAGCATATCAAAGGTAATGTAAGATCCTCCTCTTTGAAAATCAGATAAACTGATAAGAGATTGATCATACCACCAACGAAACAGTTGAGAAGAAAAAGCTGGTGCAAAAGTTGGATCACCAAAAAATGAAAAACCGGGGGGAATAGGAGAGACCAAATTTAATTTAAATTTGAATGTGGACCAAAAGTGTCATTGAATGGGTCACTATGGAGTTATAAAAGGTAAGTGAACGTGGAGAGATCCTGGACCACAAAATACTCGGTAAGTAGAAGGGGCGTATAGACTGAGATTCAAACTTGACCCATGGGATCTGAGAGTTAATAGTTGCCCACTGTGATAGCTGCGCAAAACGAGCCGAAAGGTAATATAGCCAAAAATTGGGAAGACCGAGGCCTCCAGTCCGTTGTGAGCGGTATAAAATCGCTGAGGCAAAACGTGCACGCTTATTACCCCAGATAAAATTATTAATGGTCCGCTGAAATTGGTTCAAAAACGTTTTTGAGACTGGAACTAGAAGTGCTCTAAAAAGATAAAGAAGTTTAGGCAAAATATTCATTTTAACAGCCGTGACTCTACCCAAGAAGGAAATAGGATAACCATGCCAAATCCTCAGTAGCGTAGATAGACGTGATATACACGGTGGATAATTAGCAGCAAACATATCTGAATAACTGGGAGTGAGATTAATACCTAAATAGGATATCCGGTCTGTAGACCAGCGGAATGGAAAAGAACTGCGGAGAGATGCACTTAGGGAATCAGGAATATTAACCGGCATAACCACCGATTTGGTAAAATTAACAGTAAGACCTGACGTCATAGCAAAATCATTCAGTATGGCACATAAATTAGGCAATGAAGTCAACGGGTTAGTAAGAAAAAGCATAACATCATCAGCATACATGCTCATTTTAAATTGTGAGACTAACAATGGGTAGCCTGAAATATCCGGGTGTGATCTGATCGCTACTGCCAAAGGTTCCAACACCAGTGCAAATAAAAGGGGTGAAAGGGGACAGCCCTGACGGGTACCTCTACCCAATGTGAAAAAAGTCTGAATTGCAGCCAGGGAGCCGAATTCTTGTCTTCGGAGAGTCATATAGGGTGTGTATACCGGCTAAAAATTCGTCATTAAAGCCCATTTTTCGTAGCAAGGAAAACATATAGGGCCAAAGAACACTGTCAAAGGCCTTGTTTTAATATCCAGACTCATCAGCAGGACCTCTTTAGAATGTAAATTGGCATCTTGAATAACATTGAGCGTGTGGCGAATATTATCAGTGATAAATCTGTCAGGGATAAATCCAGATTGGTCCGGGAGAGACCAAAGAGGAGATAATAGGGGCCAACCTGTCCGCCAAAATTCGGCTAAATATTTTCAGATCATTATTCATTACTGAGATAGGTCTATAATTTTGTGGTAAGCTGTGGTCCTTCTGTGCTTTGGGTATTAAAGACATGTTAGCCAACAGCATCTCCTCCGGGAACCTACCCCCCTGCAAAACATCATTAAATAAAGTTATCAGATAGGGAGCCAAAGTAGAGGCAAAATGTTTGTAATAACTAGCAGTGTACCCGTCCGGACCTGGCGCAGTAGAGCTTTTCAGGGCGCTAATTGCACGAGTTATCTCCTCCAGAGTGCAGGGGTATTAAGAGAAGCAACTTGAGAAGGTGTAAGGGCAGGGAGGGGTATAGAATCCAGCCACGAGGCTGCTAGTGAAACAGAGTCCGACCGTGGAGGGGCTAATAGGTTAGAATAAAAGTTTTCAAAAATGCCCAAAACCTCCTGAGGCAGAGATGAGATAGTACCCGAGTTATACGCAATTTATAAATATGTGGGGGACGCATGGAGTGATTCAGTTTCCTAGCAAACATAGTGGAAGCCGAGTTGCTATGTAACAAAAACGAGGCTTTTGACCAGCGGAGAGCTTTTTCAGTTTTTTGGGATAGCAGAGTATTCAATTCTAAGCGCTTTTGAGATAATATAACTGTATTATTAAGAAGAGATGGGTTGGCAATATGACTTCGGTACTAATGTGCTTCCAACTCACGGGTAAGAAGCAGAATTTGCTGCCATCGTTTTCTATTTCTGGATGAAGCCATAGAAATAAGGCGGCCTCGTAGGACCGCCTTATGGGCTACCCATAATGTGGCTGGAGAAATATCAGGAGTCGAATTAGATTGAAAATATTCCAAAATAGATGTAGCCACTTCATGGCGGGAGTCTACATCCGTAAGCATAGAATCATTGAGTCTCCATGAGAAGGGAGTGGGTGCAAGTCCCATACATGTGATAGACAAGGCTATAATATTGTGATCCGACCAAGGACTCAAGTGGATGTTAGCTATCCTAGAGTTTGCTAATAAAAAGGGGGTGCAATAAATATAGTCTAATCTAGCATAAGAGTCATGTGGGTGAGAATAAAATGAATATTCCCTAGCTCCTACATTACGCGCCCTCCAGGCATCTACTAACTGGAGGGCCTCTAGTCTTTTAGTAAGTGATTTTGGGAAGGCGTGGGAAGAGTGCAAGGGTGAGCTACGGTCTAAAAGAGGATTTGCTACCAGGTTGAAATCACCACCCACCAACAGATGGGGTGACAAAAATCTATCAAGAACATCAAAAAAATTTTGAGAAAAAGGTAGCTTGTGCCGAATTCGGTGCGTAAACATTTGCTATGTGTAAGTTCTCGGCCTGAAAGGGTGCCCTTAAGAATAATAAACTTACTGTCTGGATCACGGTACACATGTTGAACCTCAAAGGGGATTGAATTATGTAGAAAAATGGCCACCCCTCTACTCTTGGAGGAGTGTAAAGTATAATACCCTTGTCTATAGGATTTATGGAAATATGTCGGGTGTTTTGCGGCTGCAAAATGTGTTTCCTGCAATAAAATAATTTTAGCCCCTAATCGCCTATATTGGAGAAAGGCTGTTTTGCGTTTGGCGAATTGAAACCCTGGACATTATGCGAGATACATTGAATCACCATAATATGCAAAAATTATTACTATCAGCAAAAAAAATACACATTGACAAGACATATACTCGAATTATTTGGCTAGATGTAAGGACCTTCAAGTCCGTAACAAATAGACTTACGGGTAGCATTACCAGTCTGGGGGACATCCAGACCCCAAAATGGGGGTCGTGATGTCCGCACACGGCATCAAGCCAACATCATGTACTAAAGTTTTGAGGAAAAAAAAGACAAAAAACAGTAAAAGTGAAGCAATGATAGCTTCTACAATGAAAAAAGAGTAACTGAGAGACATGGATCAGGCAGGCAATTAGCCATACCTGAAAAAACAAAAAAAATTTCAACATCAAAGGGCCAATCGGGCCCAAACCCTGTCTCCATAACACATGAAAAATGGAGCCGTCACCCCACAATCGGGCGCTGACTCCTCCGGTCAT